GAATGTAAACTCTGCAGGATTTTACCTCTCCCTCTTTGGGCTTCCCTTATAGCATTTACTTCACTCGGTGGTAATGTAAGCAAATATTTGCTTTTCTTATTCCCCTTCCCCTTTAGATGTAACTGATAAAAACCCAATTAAAACTCGCTTAAACAAAGGAAGAATGTATTGAGTCATGTGACTGGAAAAGCCCAGCCATGGGCTTCAGGGAAACTTGGATCCAAGTGCTCAGTCACCGGATATCGTGCTCCATCTCTTGACTCTGTGCTTTCTGTGTTGGCTTTATTCCCAAGTAGACAGACTTTCCATTTGCAGTAACTACAATGATCACCAGTAGCTGGGGCAGGTTTATAGTCTACCTATTTAGCAGCTGGGGCTAAAAGACTGACTCTTTCTCAATTGTTTCCAAAAAAGTTTCAGGATTGAGTTTTTTGGGTCTGGTCTGGGGCATGTTCCCATCACCAAACCAATTCCTGTAGTTGAGGGATTGGAATTGGCTTTCACAGGCCAGGCTTTGGTCAGAGTAAGAGTGACCAACTCATCTGAATTTGCCTGGGACTCTTCTGATTTCAGCATTAAAAGTCCCATGCCCCCCAGGAAACCCCTCAGTGTAGAGCACACTGGGATAGTTGGGTACCAGGAACTCCATGCTGGAGATGAGGGGAGATGTGGTCAGCCCCAAATGACTCCCATAGATTAAAATTGAAAAGGAGGTGGTTTCCTGGAGGAACCACCAGAAGAAGAGGAAATGAATGCTGGGTGGGTAAAAGCAACAGAGAGATGTCTTCTCCATTCACCTTTCTAGATTAGAGCTACCTTGAAGGCAGGGACTGAATCTTACTCATTTTTGTGTCTTCTAAAAAATCGAGTACGTTGCTTTCTACCTAGGAAAGCCTCAAAAGAACTTACACTGCTTCTTGTATCACTTTATGAAATACTTGAAAAAATTCCTTCAGAGTGAGTGAGGAATATTTAACACTAGTTCATGATGGATAATACAGAATCTCATTTAACAGGAGTATTTAAAAATTGGTTACAATCTTACTTGATTGAGATTATTAAAATGTAATCTTGCAGAAAATGGGGTGGGTGGAGAGTTTTAATCAAACTTACAAAATCACTGAAATACGATGATCCCTCTCTCCCCCACCCCCACCACTGTCCTTTCCAATCTCCTTATATTAAAGATAAACCTGGTATTGTGTTTACATTAACATCTAATATATATTAAAAAGTGAAACTTAAAAATACTCTTCTAGTGATCTGAAATTCTATTCACTAGTTTCAGTTTTGTTATTTAATCAGACTGAGCAGTGGATAAGAATTGTTTTTCTTTGGGCAGGGTGTGGCTTTTCCTCTGAAACTTTTTTTCTGTAACTTCTAAGTCTGACCCATCCCTTCCAGCAATGAGTTATACATCCCAATTAGGAGTTTTAAAAAAGAAAGCTACATAAAGAGCTATGTCTTCGATCTAGAGAACAGGATAAAAATTTTTAACTATTATATACTAATGATGAATCTTGTAGTAAATGGTGGGGGAAAAGAAGAAACTGCCTCTAACATAGTGCTTCCAAACTTGACATTGGCTATGGGGCAAAGACTCTAACTGAAACTACTTTTTGTGAATTTAGCCAAATCAATTCTGAGGCACAACATTCATTTGTAAATAATGAGTTTAAATCATTGCTTCTAGCTCATTTCAGTCTCTAACACAAAATGGGTTTAAGCCTTCTCCATATTTCTAAGATTTATATAAAATTTCTTTTTCAAAAGCTGAGCTGAAAGAACATTACAAATGAAAGTTATCATTTTGCCAGCTAAATGAATAATATATATGTCTAAAAATCACTATGGAAAGGAAGAATTTATGATACTGTTGTGTTTTGTTTTATTATCATTAAGGTCCTCCAATGAATCTATAGCATGCTTCCTGGTAGAGTTAACTGTACTGATTCCCCCTCCTTCCTATTGAGAAAAGAAGCACAGTTTAGGAAAGACCTCAGCTCAAGGTCTGGACCCAGTTGATCCCCTGGTAATTCCACATTCTTCACTGGCTTAGATTTGGGCATATGACCCAATTTTAGTCAAAGTAAGTGAGGGTTGCTGAAGACTTCTGAGACAGAGAAAAGAAATCTAGAAGTCACTTCTGTTACTCAGTGGAAGTGAAAGATGAATCATATGGCTCCTGTTGCTACTATTATGTTTACTACTAGAGGAACCAGAAGCCAAGTCTGTTAATAGCCCCTTGGAGATTTAGAAAGAACCCAGTACATGGCAACATTGTTGAGCTGCTAATTCAACCAGTCCCAAATCCTATCCTACCTCTAGTCTTCCTATTTCATGGGATTATAAATAACCTTATTATTTATGCTCATCTGAAGCAAGTTTTCAGTTGTGGTTGAAATGGTAAATATTTGAAGGATAACAGAAGCTTGATGTCAAAAGAGCCTCGTGAGTCATTTTGTCCCCCTGTTCTCAACCATATTATCTATAAGAAGGAAACGTGACTGCCTAGGACTCCCTGATCTGACCCAGCGACATGGGTAGTGGCCTAGAGGAAGGGAGCCCTTCTCTTCTATGCCCATCCAGCTGCTCTCTCCACTATACATCTGACCTTTGTAGAAGTCTGTTTTGTCTACTCTTTAAGCAATCATGCACCTCATGAATGAACAAACAGGCTATGTATAATCATGTGCCCCCCAAAGCCAGAAAATTTAAGCTCCACTAAATTGGACATTATGTAAATTCTCTCTGAACTCTGACTTCTGCTGACCATTGTTCAGGTTGGGGAATGTATTCTGGTCATAGTGATAATAATCGCTAACACTTAACCATGTTTCAGACATTGCACTGAGTACTTCACTTGCTTTCTCTCATTTATTTGACAATATAACACCAAGAGGCTGGTACTGTAAGAGGGCTGTTTTTGCATATGAGGAATTGGAGACTCAACTAGGTAAGAGACAATGGTCCCAGATAGCTGAGCTACTGAGTGGTAGAGTGAGTATTAAAACTCAGGTCTGGCAGAGTGTAGGGACAGAATTACATGGCTTCTGCCACTCCTTCCAGCTCTGACAACCCACAGATCTAGGATGCCCAATTCACCAATGCACAGGCCAGCCTTGAGAGTTGCAAGTGGAATTAACTTGTGAAGGTACAAACTCATAATCAACAGTATATGGTTGGCCCAAATTGTCTCTGCAGCTGCTTGCAGACTCTGGAGTCCTAGCTGATATGGGAAACAAAGGCAAAAGAAAAATCATTAAATTTCCATACTACATACAGCCCATTGACAAGACCTTGAAACGGGCAGAGTGACATTCCTCTAGGGACTCAACTGCTTCAATGTTAATACTTTGAGAAGGGCAAAAGGCAATCCTAGCCCGGAACACGCCTCTGCCCCCACCATCCTGTAAGTCTACTTCAACGTATAAATATTCTTTTGGAAACTTCCTTTATCATCCCCTAAGAATATGGCCCACTGATATACATCTGAAGGGTCTCATGACTAAGGTTTTACTAGACAGTAATAAAAGACCTTTTCCCAACAATAGCTAGCCTCCTCAAGATCCCAGAAACCTAAGCCCCTCCCAACCTGAAAGCATATAATAGGCTCAGGAACACACTGCAGTTCTTTCTGCCCATGGGTCCTGGTCCTTTTTGTACCAAAGAAGTCTCAAGAATTCTTTCTTGGCTGTTGACTTCTAACCCTAACATCACCATCCATGCCTATACTTTAAAGCTCACACCCAAGGTTCAGACCTTAGACCTTGATTTTTCTTTCTTTTTTTTAAGATTTAATTTTTAAGTAATCTCTATACCCAATGTCGGGCTCAAACTCACAACTGCAAGATCCAGAGTCACACAGTCCACTGACTGAGCCAGCCAGGTGCCCCATAGAACTTGATTTCTGAGGTCCACTATAGAAGGTTACTAATCCAGGTACTGGGTTTATATCCAGTAAATCCTCAACACCTGAAAATATTAACATAGGACTAATATTCTTAATTCATCTAATTGCATTCTTTTAAGCAACTGCTGGAGCTACACTACTGATTATGAAAGAAAATATCCCCTTGGATTTTGCATTTTAAAGTGAGGGGAGGCAAGAACCAAGAGCACCTTAAAAGTTCTGTTAAATTCAATAAACATTTAATAAGTTCCTTTTCGACTCCAGGTCCTGTATTTGGCACTGCAAATACAAAGAGAAAAAAGATACCATCCACTCTTCACCAAGTATGGCTGGGTAACCCCAAGCGTTAACAAATAAATCGATTTCATCTGGTAGTTTCTCTCTCTACTAGTAAGTTTAAAGATAACATTCTTCTGCTCCATTAAGTTTCCAATTGAAGGCAGGAGCACAATCCCATATATATCTGTCCAAAGACATGCCCATTTCTCAGCTGGTTCCCTACTGCAAGGGTTTTTTTTCTGTGTTTCTTGTGACTTTCCTTGTAAACTGCCTACTACAGAACTTTGGGTGTAAAGGTGCTCAATTTTCCAGCAAAACAGGTACTTTGGGTAGAATCACACTGCGTTTATCTCAAGTCCCTGGAACTGGCTGAAGCTGCTCTAGATTTGTGCTGGGCCCTTGGTGCAGCCAAAGTCGCTTTTCTTGAGGACACCAAAGTCGCCAGGTGCCTATTAACTAGGAACGAACTGGGCTTGGCAACAGTTAGGTGTCTTTCCCGGACACGCGGGGTTTCAAGTCTCCTGAAGGGCGTCCAACCCTAGGAAGATAGGAAAGGGGCGGGGTGGAAGATAGGAACCGACCTCCTCGAGGTCCAATGCGACCCCACCAAAGCCGCTGTCTCCAGGTGGTACCCGACTCTAACCAATCGCAAAGGGGATTACATTTGACGCGGCTCCGCCAGCCAATCCGAGGACGCGTCTCAGCCTCCGCCGCTTGCTGGGGTCCCAGCCGGCTGGCAGCAGGTTCCGCAGTCGCGCGTCGGGTGGCTGCGCACACTCCAGAGTGCCCGCAACAAAGCGGTTCTGGCGGAGGTTGGGGCTGTTACCCGCGGCGGGGGGCGCCCGCTATTGCGCAGGCGCCTCAGGAAGATCTCTGCCTCGCGCAGAGATCGGGTCGGCCTCGTCCCCAGGGCGCACGAGCGCGGGGTTCCGCCAGTGCTGAGTTCCGCGCTCCGGCTGCAGCGGGTGAGTGCGAGCCTCGCGCGGCCGGCCTTCCGGAGGGAGATGCCACCCCCTCCTCGGTCGCCTGGGGCTTTGGCACTGGAGGTGGTGAGAAACACCCCCCACCCTTCCCCCGGCCCCCGGGGCGTTGGCGGGTCGTCCGTGCAGGGACCCGCAGGCGCTGGGAGAGGGCTGGGCTGGGCGAGGAGGAGGGCGGTGTGGAGGGCGGAAAGAGCAGTTGGCAGGTGGTTTGGGACGCGGCGGGGTTGTGGGGAGGCCGTGCTGTGAAGGGTGGGGAGGGCCGTGGGCTGACAGCGGCGGAGGGACGAAGGTGGGCAGGGGTGACAGCGAGGGGAGGCGGGCGGCGGGGTGGGCGTTTGTGTCTGTCTGAATATTAGATCAGAGCTCATGGCAATTACATAATCAAATTTAAGAACTAATTTCCTAGAAAACCAAACAGCAAAGATAACATTTAAGTGCTTTTTATAGGCTGGACACCGTGTTAAGCCCTCGACAAACAATGCTTCCATTTCTCAGTATAGCAACCGTGTGAGATCATAGCGTCCCATTATACAGATGGGGAAATTCAGGCTCCGAGGAGTGAAGAGTTACGTTCCACATTGTACAGCTGGTGACAGGTAGATTCAGGTTTATACTGGGTCTGACTCCAGAGTGGTTTTGCCTGACCACCAGGTGATCTGCTGGACCTAAGCCTGAGAACTTACTCAGTGTTCTAGGCAGTCAGCTGCTCCTTTTAATGTCATGGTTTTCTTTTCTTCCTTTTTTTCCCCCAGAGGTTGTTCCCAGGCTATTTTAAGGAAATTAAGGTCATTTGAAAGCAAAGAGGAAATATTTTATGTATTTTAGATTAGCTACAAAATATAATTTGGGAGAAATTTTGATGAAAATGCAAGAAGTACGTGAGGGGGTACTTTACTATGTAGAAAGTAAGATGGTATAGCTGTTTTCAAGATACTAGAGCATTCTGTGTGCACTTAAAAATGGGAGAATTATTTAGAATCCCAACGTTTTTAGGACTGAGAAAGTCTTCTAAAGAGTAGTTTTTTTCCCCTTTGGCTAAAGAAAATAATGATCTACAGGAAACCACTGAAATTTCCCATGTCCACAAGCAATGCTATTTTATTTTAAAGCTGTGTAAAAGTTTGATTATAAATATTTGTGAAGTCTTTAGATGAGGGCTTTTGTATTATTACAAAGTAGATGGCAAGCTAATGGTGACAAATGTCTTTCACCATTTCCTGTAATTGCTGGACTCTCTCAACTTCACTGGGGTTAAGAATGCCACTGGAAACTGCCTGACATGCATTCCATCCAGGTAAAAAAGTCATCCCAGAGGAGGTAAAGCACGTTTTGTCCCCTGAATTGAAGATTACTACCTACTGCTTCTGGTTGCTGTTGGGATAATTGGAGTTATTTTACTATGTAGAAAGTAAGATGGTGTAGCTGTTTTTAAGATACTAGAAAATTTTGTGTGCACTTGAAAATGGGAGAATTATTTAGAATCCCAATATTTTTAGGACTGAGAATAGGATAGTCTGCTTTTTTTTTTCTTCCCTCCACTATGTTTTTTTGTTTGAAAAATTATAGAATTTTTCTCAAAGTTGAGTAATATAACAATTAGTGATTTTGATTCCTTGAAAACTACTTGAGAACTTTTTGCTGGTATTTTGTTTATCAGTTAACATGCCCTGTTAGAATGACACAGAATGCGGTAGACATAGATACATGTGCTGCTAATGAACATGTTCTGGCAGGAAAAGTTTTGGTAATCATTTGGAGTTGTTACTAGTCTTGTTAACTTGCTGTTACTAGACTTGTAAACTTGTGGGGGGCATGAATTAATATGTGCATATTGCTTTCTGAGCTTGGCCTATCACTGGACTTCAGCCGTATCATATGTAAAAAGAAGGGGTTGACCTAAATTTTTTCTAATTATTTTAGGGTTGCACAGTAATAGTATTCTGCCTGTTATAGTACAGACTTTTTCCTAACATAACAGCTTTGTAACTAGCATTGATAAAAAGAAACTAAATTTGACGGCCTGTTCTGTAACGTTATATATAGATGTGTGTGTGCGTGTGTGTGTGTGTGTGTGTATCATGTCACAAACACTAAAGCTAACTCTGGGAGAAGTTAGATCTGCTCACAATTAATTGCCCATTGACTAAATGTGAGCTTAAGTTCTGGGATCATTCTGATTTCAGAGCCTATAATCTTTCTGTTCTGTCTGTGCCTTGAAGCCTAGAGACAGGGATCCTAACAGTGTGCTAATGCATTCCTGAACCACAGAATAAATAGCACATATATTTGAACATAATTTTCATTTGAGATTTAGGGAAGAAAGATTTTGATTTATATGTATTTTGAGAGATGGTCAGACACAGGTTTTTATTTTGTTATTGTTTTTGCATTTGGAAGGTGTTATAAAACATTTTCATGTTAAAACACCCAAGTCTATTATAGAATACAAATGTTACATAATTTGGGGCATACATTGAGACATCAGAGATGTTTCCTGTTTTATGGCAGGGCATTTCAGATGCTTTTTTTTTTTAAAGATTTTATTTATTTTATTTGACAGACAGAGATTACAGGTAGGCAGAGAGGCAGGCAGAGAGAGAGAGGAGGAAGCAGGCTCCCTGCTGAACAGAGAGTCTGATGCGGGGCTCGATCCCAGGACCCTGGGATCATGACCTGAGCCGAAGGCAGAGGCTTTAACCCACTGAGCCACCCAGGTGCCCCATTTCAGATGCTTTTAAGATTACAATTTCATTCCCTCTTTTTGTTTTTAATATAATAACTTTATTGAGATATAATTCACACTCTATCCAGTTCACTCACCTAAGTGAACATTAGGGAGTCATAGAACCATCACCACAGTCAATATGAGAACATTTTCATCGCCCCAGAAACAAACCTCATACCATTGGAATTTACTCCCCATTTCCCCCCAGCCCTTTGTGCCAAACACTACCAATGTACTTCCATCTCTAATAAATTTGCCTGTCTTAGGCATTTAATCTAAAGAGTTATAGAAAAAGAGATCTTTAGGGATTGATTGCCTTCTTTCACTTAGTGTAATGCATCAGGGTTTATCCTTATAGTGTCTGTTAGCACTTTATTCCTTTTTATTGTCAAATAATACTCCATGCTCTGGGTAGATCACATTTTATTTGTCCATTTTTCATCACCTGATGGGCGTTTGAGTTGTTTCCACTTCTTGGCCCTTATAAAATGCTGCTGTGAACATTGGTGTACAAGTTTTATTTAATGTGAGCATCTGTTTTAATTTCTTTTGGACATATACCTAGTAGTTGAATTTCTAGGTATTATGATGACTCTGTTTAAACTTTTAAAGAACTGCCAGAATGTTTTCTAGGTGGCTCTCCCATTTTACATTCTCACCAGCACTGGTATAAATGTTTCAGTTTCTTTAAATCCTCGCTAACTCTTATTATTGGTCTTTTTGATTCTCTTCATCCTAGTGGGTCTGACGTGTTATTTCATTGTGGTTTTCATTTATATTTCCCTGATGGTGTTGAACATCTTTTTGTGGCCTCATTTGCCCCTTTATATCTTTGGAGAAATGTCTTTTCAGATCCTTTGCTCATTTTTTTAATTGAACTGTTTGACTTTTTAAGTTGTTACATTTTTATACTAATTATAAATCACTCATCAGACGATTTTCAAATATTTTCTCATGTTCTGTGGGTTGTCTTTTCTCTTTCTTCATGGTATCCTTTAAAGCACAAAAGTTTTTAGTCTCAATGAAGTCCAGTTTTTTTTTTTAATTTTTTTTTATTTTTTATTTTTTTTTTATTTTTGGTGCTGTACCTACCTAAGAAGGCTTTGCCTAACTCAAGGTCATGAAGATTTACTCCCATATTCTCTTCTAAGAGTTTTATAGTTTTAGCTCTAAATTTTGGTTCATGAGCCATTTGTAATTAATTTTTTGGTGTATGGTGTGAGATGAGGGGTCCAAATTCATTCTCTGGCATGTGGATATCCGGCTGTCCAGGCACCATTTGTTGAATTGGCTTGGCACTCTGCTGTTCTTAGAGAAAACTCTGTTGAAAAAGGTTTGGACATATATGATATTCCATTTGTAGTAATTCCTCAAAGGGCTTAGTGTTAGAATCAAGACTTTTTGGTGTATGGCTCTCAAGCACAGCGTTACAAAGAAGTTTTGGTGTTCTAGAACAGAGTTCATTCACCCTTGTCTTTGTTCTTTCAGGATGACAGCTGATTCAGTACTCTGATTATTTATGCCCCTATCGTGAGTATGACAGATTTGAAAAGTGTAAAGCCCTCGTCCCCTGATACATGGCACATACATACATTTTTGTAGTATAATCTTAAGTTATGTTAGCCATGTATTGAATGATACTAAAAAAATAACCTAAGAGAATGTTTGAGCCAGACTTCATGCACAGGAGGTAACTTCAGGGTGTTTGGAAGCACAAACTATTACTGAAGAGCTCTTAGAGATCACCTATAGGTCACCCGGATAAAGGCCTATTGCCTTTTACATGTCTTTGTGAAACATTTGAGGCAGATGGTGATGGTGAAATATGGTAAAAGGAAAGCAAGGTTGGCAGTGATTTTCTGTAACTGTTTTAGTAATGCGCACGTGGGCTGGGCCTGGGCACTGCAGGGGCTTGACTGCCAGGCCAAAGTGTTTGTATAGGCAGGGGCTCTTGGAACTTTCTTTTTTTTAGAGGAGTGTTATGAACAGAGCTACACGGGGAAGAGTAAGTTGGGAGCAGATATTGGGCAAGAAAGGGGAGGGTGGATAATAAGGTGGGAAGGTCAGTTAAGAGACAAGAGGAATTAAGGGCATTTAGAAGTCTGGCCACAGTAGAGATGGAGAGAATGGGGAGCTGCTCAAAATGCAGGTTCCTGGCTTCTACTCTGCTCTGCTTCTACTCTGCTCTGGAGTCAGAATTTCCTGGGTGTGAAGACTGGGCCGCCACACTTACGACAGGCTCCCCTCGGTGATTTTTCTGTCTGCTGGGCTGCAGGAGATGACTTGCAAATAGAAGCGATGAGGCTGGTGGTGAGGGGCTTCCTCAGGGCAGCTCTGGTGTGAGAGAACGGGAATGAAGGAAAGGAGAAGTCTGGAGCTGCAGAGAACGCGTTCACTTTGACCTACCTCAGACTTGTCTTGCCCGCGGGATAGTTTGTGCGGCCGAATTGGTGGGGAAGGTGCACCGGTTACTGAGGGACCAGGGCAGTACCTAAGACACTTTGTATGAAGTGCGGGGGGAGTATGTTTAAGCTGCGGAACCGCCGACATGCTGTTTCAGTGGGCGCATACTGGAGACCAGTACTTGTGTCTGGGAAGGTAGCTGTACCCAGAGAGAAAGCGGGGGTCTGCTCCCTCCAAGCTCCCCTGGAGACCGGCTTGGCCTCCACACAAGCTCTGGGGTTGCTGGAGCCCGAGTGTGGCTGAACTCGCACCGACCCGCTGAGGCAGGAGGTGAGTTGTGCCTGAACACAGGTCGGGGCACCGAACACGGAGTGAGAAGTGCCGCTCTCTGTGTCAGTTCCGGAGACTGTGTCTGGACGGCGTGTCTGGGTACCGAACAGCCTGGTTACTCTTCTCTTCGGAGAGCGGATTCGGTTTGTCATTCCGTCCTGTTTGGGGTTTCACGGATGGCCTCCGCAGCCCGTGGCGCGCGCACCACACTCAGAAGGCCGCTCAAGTCGGGTTAAAGTGGCCGGCGCTTGACACCCACAGACCCTCACAAACAAGTTTCTGTGCCTTTGGTCTTCCCAATTTCAAGTTCCTGGTTCTAAGACGGCCGCAGCTTCAGTCAACTGATGTGTGAATGACTGCGCACACACAGATCGTCTAGCTGGCATGTTTGAAGGAAAGAAAGTCTCCGCCTTCAAGTAATTGTGGTTTCGTCGGGAGAAAGAACACACGATAAGTGGCTCATGCACTTAATCATCATGTCTGTTAGCTCGCAGCCACTTCTGCCTGGACCTCGAGGTTCACACCCCCCACGGCTGTATCTTGGCTCTTCCTCTGGAATGATTCACTCACCTCCCTCCCACTACAGCCTCACATCCTTGCAGCTTCCCTCAGAAACCTCTCTACTTCATGATCTGTGGCAGTTTGAGCTTAGACGCCGCAGTTCAATTTTAGTCACTCCCTAGTCAGGATCGTCCGCTTCCTTCGCTGTACTTCAGTTTCTCACAGAGTCTCAAGTGCAGGCACGATCAGCCACCTGTTTTGTTCAGGCCCGTGCGAGGGCCTCTGAATTGCTAGAGAAAAGCAGTCAACGGTGTCACTAGGAATTCATGACACCTGCTGTCAACTTTGACCCCCCCCATCCTGCTGTTACCCTGCACTCTCTCCCCTTCTCCATGTTGGCCATTTCAGACGTTCTCTGTTTCTCAAACCTGAGAACCTTTTGCCATCCTACTCCCTCTCAGTAATTGCCTCTACCTTTTGCAGCACAAAGAATGCAGCTCCCTTCATCTCCAACCCTCAGACCTGTTAGCTTACCTAGCTTTAGGTAGGTAAAGCTTCTCATCTATTACAGTGGAAGATATATCCTGTCCAACTGAAGTGGGTCATCCTACTTAAATCACCTGTCCCGTTTTCTGAAGGACCAAAGATGATAGAGACTAAAGGCAGGGAGATTTATTGTGGGAAAGCTGGGGGTTTTTCTGTTTGTTTAATAATCAGTGGATTATCCAGAAAGAAAAAAGAAAAAAAAAAATCAGAGCAAGCTCTGAGCTGGGGTATTAGGTAGAATAGTTATGTCCTTGATAGTAAAGAGGAAGTTTAAGGAATATGGTGAAGTTCTCAACAGCTGTTGGATTTTTTTCAGAAGTCACTGTGGCAGCCAAGCCCCTGTGGGCTTTGTTTGTCAACTTCCTGTAAATACTGGGAATGTATAGATAGAGGTGGGATATTTTTCTCAAGTAATATTTATTTCTTACCCCCCTTTTCCATGCCAGTATCTTCAACAGGAGTTGGTGGTAAGTCAGCATGGTAGAATTTCCACCACCTATTTCTGTGGTGTAAAAAGAACATAGGTTACCAGTCATTAAACTAGAAAAATAATCGCACTCCCTGGAGCCTCTGAAGGCTGGTATTATTTCTGTTTTGTGCAAAAGGATCATTTTTTTTTCTTCATCTGTTATTAAGGTTTTTTTTAAGATTTTATTTTTTTTTTAATTTATTTATTTGATAGAGATCACAAGTGGGCAGAGGGGCAGTCAGAGAGAGAGGAAGGGAAGCAGGCTCCCTGCTAAGTAGGGAGCCAGATGTGGGGCTTGAACCCAGGACCCTGGGATCATGACCTGAGCTGAAGGCAGAGGCTTTAACCCACTGAGCCACCCAGGCGCCCCTAAAGATTTTATTTTTAAGTAATCTCTACACCCAACATGGGCACAGACTTGCACCCTGAGATCAAGAGTTGCTTGCTGCACTGACAGAGCCAGTCAGGCGCCCCTGTTCTTATTAAGTCTTTAGAGTAATTTCTGCTACTACAGAAAAGCAAGGCAACCAAACAGGAGTTTTTCTGTGGAGTATAAGAGTGGTCCATACCCCCTTCATTAAGAATGGGGCAGGACGTGTATATAGGAAATTGGACAGGGAAAGGCAATTTTTGTTTTTTCCAATTTTGGCTTTATTTAATTATCTTTCAGTAAATGACATTATCTTTCAGTAAATGACGTTACCTAATTTTAAGATGATAAAAAGCTGGTATACAAAAATTTGATAAATTTTTGCTTCTCTTCTCCTGATGGCTAAACTTCTGAACAACAGCACTACCACTTATGAACTGTGTTTTTATGTTTTAGGAACCCTGATTGCTCTCCTTCAACACATTCATTATGAAGTTATTAGTAATACTTTTATTTTCTGGACTTATAACTGGTTGTGGCGGTAACTCTTCCCGTAGCCTGCCATCCAAGCTGCTGCTGGTGTCCTTTGATGGTTTCAGAGCTGACTATCTACAGAACTATGAATTTCCTCATCTCCAGAATTTTATCAAAGAAGGAGTCCTGGTAGAGCATGTTAAAAATGTTTTTATCACAAAAACATTTCCAAACCACTACAGCATTGTGACGGGCTTGTATGAAGAAAGTCATGGCATCGTGGCTAATTCCATGTATGATGTAATCACAAAGAAACATTTTTCTGACTTTGATGACAAGGATCCTTTTTGGTGGAATGAGGCGGTACCTATTTGGGTGACCAATCAGCTTCAAGAAAACAGATCAAGCGCTGCCGCTATGTGGCCTGGTACTGATGTACCCATTCACAATACCACACCTTCCTATTTTATGAATTATAGCTCTTCAGTGTCATTTGAGGAGAGACTAAATAATATTACCATGTGGCTGATGAATTCGAACCCACCAGTTACCTTTGCAACACTCTACTGGGAAGAACCAGATGCAAGTGGCCACAAATATGGACCTGAAGATAAAGAAAACATGTACAGAGTGTTGAAAGAAGTAGATGACCTTATTGGTGAGCTAGTCCACAAACTCAAGGTGCTAGGATTGTGGGAAAATCTCAATGTGATCATTACCAGTGATCATGGGATGACCCAGTGCTCTAAGGACAAACTGATAAACCTGGATCTCTGCATTGATCGCTCAAGCTACACTCTTGTAGATCTGACTCCAGTTGCTGCTGTCCTTCCCAAAATAAGTAAGTAACCTTGTAGCTGAGGGATATTCAAAGGGAGCAATTGAATTAAGAGACATGGCTTTGCAAAAGAATGCAGCTCTGGCTTTTTGTAGTGCAGTACCATATATTCCTACTCGGAGTGGGATTATATGTTTACCCCCCTAATTAACAAGTCTTTAAGCAGTTAGCCTAAGGCTCATTTTCGAAGTGATTACTTCCTTGCTTTTGATACATTTCTTAAGTATTCACACTAATCGAAAAAGGAAATTTTTATCCTTAAAAAAACCTTGGATTTTTGTTTGAGATGCATTGTTTTTCTATTGATCTCAGAATTAGTAATTAGCAGCAATACATAATTTATATTTACATAGGAAGCTATACATGAAAATGTCTCCTTTTGTATAAAAGTCCACCAGAGAGAATCACAAAATGAAAAAAGCGATATGTGAATGCTTGGAAAGCTAGGGGTGTGTGTGTGTTCAACAATATCACATAATTATTGCTCTCTTTTTTTAAGAATTAAAAGTGATTTAATAGATGGCATTGTTCAGGATTTATTTCCAGGTATTCTAGTTAGAAGTTTTTTTTCCTTATCAGGCAATCATGACTTTCTCCCTTTACTGCTTCCTTTTTCTTCCAGATACAACAGAGGTTTATAACAAACTGAAAGTCTGTAACCCTCACATGAATGTTTATCTCAAAGAAGACATTCCTGCCAGATTTCATTACCAACATAATGATCGAATTCAGCCTATTATTTTGGTTGCTGATGAAGGCTGGACTATTGTATTAAATAAATCATTACCAAAATGTAAGTATTTAGGATATTTCTGTTGTATTCTGGGGATAAATCACACATTGTGACATTGTTCTGTTAACAGCATACTTTGATTTAGAGATACTAACACTGTGTAATCAGTTCACTTTCTGATTGGATAATTCTCAGGTTTTCATTCAAAAGCAATTTATAACCACAGTTTTACCCTTAGATGAGGAAGGTAGGTGACATTAAGGGCAAAGGTGTAGTACTGTCTTACCCATACCACAGTTACTGTCAGTAACTTTTCAAAGTTGGTTCTTTTGATTTGTAGAGAATGAGAAAAAAGTAAAGAAACAAAGTAAAAGGGGGGAGATTTGATAGTTCAAATGCTTTTTTAAATTTTGTGTGTGTGTTTAAAAAACATTGTCCTAGTAACTCAAAGTCTTTCCCCAGTGATGAAATCATTTACCTGAGCGCTATAGCTGTTTGGAACACTGGGCAAAAACCAAAAGGTAAACAAACCGAAATTTACCCAGTAAACAAAACAGGTGTATCAAAACCTCTCCCAAAGCTTGAGGAGTTAAAGAGGGGAGAGTTACAGGTCTTCCCTGTCAACTTTGTTGAGCCATATGTTAAATTCAGTTTGAGGAAAAAAAAAAAAAAAAAAATTCAGTTTGAGTACTTAAAAAAAAAAAAAAAACTGGTTTTGTAGTCTGTAACAGGAGTCAGAGTACTTGTTCTGTAAAAGGCCAGATAGTGAATATGTTAGGCTTTATAGGCCCCCTGGTTTCTCACTCACTCAATTCTGCCTTTGTAGTGGAAAAGCAGCAGTGGACATTATGTAAACTAACGGATGCTGGGTGTTGAAACGAAACTTTGTTTACAAAAACAGGTAGAGGGCTGAATTTGATCAGGGGCTATAGTGTGTAGATCCCTGATCTATAGCAAATCAGAAGCTTCAGACAAGGATAAGGCTAAAGGTTAATGGAATTTATATGTTATTTATGCTTATTTACTGACTGTTGAAAACTGAGAAAAGACAGAAAATTTAGAAGAGAGAGAAAAATCTATCAATATAGATTTCCCCCTTCCAAACTCTTTTCTATCCTATATACCTGTATGTTTTTACATTATTGAAATCCTAAAGTCTATATAATATAATATAATATAATAAAGTGTTATATTCTGTTATTATGTTGATCACATTCATTATTTCTGTTATGAAATATTTCAGACATGAGATTAAGGGATGCTGTAACACAAACTAATAGACTCACCACCCAGTCACTTGTACTTTGTATGAAAGCTGGAGCTTATCAGTGCAACAGGCATACAGGAAAAAGGAGTATTTGCCAAAATACAGCTAAAAAACTGAGGATTTGGTATTGGGGTTCTGTCCGGGACTGTCATGTTTTTCTGTGAATTTGATTTGGAGTTAGAGGTTGGTGAACTGGTTAGACCTCACGTTGACTGCAGGAACCCCTTCTGTAACATTCTCACTGGGCCCTCCAGAGGTCAAGGCATTCGTTCACTGTCAGTAAACCAGGAGTATATTATGTAATCCTATTTCTTATCACAGGAGCAGTTGATGTTGGTAAGGCTGCAGATGTACTTCTTCCCCATTCACTGGTTTTACTCACTTCTGCTCTCCCCAGTTATTCAGGACCCTCAGCCCAGCCACTCTCTTCTAGGCACTAGTGCTCTCTGCACGCACACAGTGCTGGAAATTGATGGGTGAGATGAGTGGGGTTGGTGCTGAAGGACAGGCGCATCAGGTGGAGAAATAGTTTTAAAGCCTCGTGTCATGACCGTTTGGGAAAAGGGTGTATGTGTGAAATAGGGAACACATGGCTGAGCTGGAAAAAACCAGAAAATTTTCTTTCTGGCCCCTGTCAGGTCCAGCTAATCAGTTTTAATGGATGGGAATTACACTGGCAAGAATGAGTATATTTACACTAGAAGCAAGTTGTTTTATAATAGAATGATCAGTCTTTCTTTTAGGAACTAACCTAATCTTGTTCTTTTTTTCAGTAGGTGACCATGGTTATGACAATTCTTTGTCGAGTATGCATCCGTTTCTAGCTGCCCACGGTCCAGTGTTTCACAAAGGCTACAAACACAGCACAATTAACAGTGTGGATATTTATCCAATGATGTGCCACATCCTGGGATTAAAACCACATCCCAATAACGGAACCTTTGGTCATACTAAGTGTTTGTTAGTTGACCAATGGTGCATTAATCTCCCGGAAGCCATTGGAATTGTGATCGGTGTGCTCTTGGTCCTAACCACGCTAACATGCCTGATTATAATCATGCAGAATAGACTGTCTGTACCCCGTCCATTTTCCCGACTTCAGCTGCAAGAGGACGACGACGATCCTTTAATTGAGTAGCATGTGCTGGAGTTTATAGAGTGTCTTTGATCAGTCACGATACTGAGGACACACTCAAGAATGGTATTCTAACGATGAAAAATACACCTTGAGAGACAAAGAACTTAGACCAAGCATGCTAGAATTATTTTGTTTTTTCTTGTGCTTTGTTTTACTGCATCAGCTAATACATAAAACCCTGACCATAGCAAAAATTGCTAGTAAATCAGTAGTTAACACCAACTATTTCTCCAACTAGAAACTTTTTGTAAGAAAGATAATGCCTCTGCCTTTTTCTTTTGCAATGAAGATTTGACACATTTTTAAATAAAAATACATCAAAATTTAGTAGGCATGCTTTTCTAATAAATTTTTATATTTGTAACTGAAATAACAGAAATCTTTTTGCAATTAGTGGATTTTGTGTATCAGGAAGGGAAAGTTTTCTATATTTTTATATTTAATAATTTTAATAGAGTTTGTATCCCAGGTAAACCTATGACATTGGAAGACCTCTGTGAAGGTTAATAAAATTGGTTAAGCAGGCAGAACAGATCTAGCATATGAAGAAATTATTTTAAGAAAAGCTATTATAAGAAAAACAACAAAGACCATGTGATACAAAGCTTGAGTCTTTACCATTGTCTTTGTTAAGATTCCTAAGCTGTTGAAGCCAGGAAAGATATCTTTCGAAGACTGTTGCTATAAGAAATTAAGAAAATGGAAAGAATTACTTTTCTCTGTCTGTGCTTAATGCTGTTGTGTAAGTTATTCTTGTGTGTATAAGTGTGTTTGCGTGTATGAATGTGTAGACTTCCTGTGACTGACCGAAGCGGTCAGAGCAGCTGGTCTGTGGGCTGACTTCCACATTCCCACGGAATGTGGCTCTCAGCAAAGGGTATATTTGCACTTCATATTTGTGTACTTTCTTATGACTCACAAGCTAAAGTCATAACTTAAGAAAGTTCCTTAGTTTTTGCCACCATGTTTTACTTTCTCATGTTGTTTATTATAGCCAGAGGTATCCAAGCACTGTAAAAAAAAAAAAAAAAAAATGTATGACCTGAATACAAATCTGGCTTCAGTTGGGTCGGAATGAGGAAGAAAGATTTTGATATCTATCTTTGGGGCGTTTATACCTTACTTTTTAGGCAGTAGAGTAAATTTAAAATGGAATTTGGTATCTTGGATCTTTCCCACTGTTCCTATGTGAAGTGGCAGGGTCAACAAACACTAAGCACTGTTGGCATTGTGTAGCCTGAGTGCTGGCCCTCTGTTTCTCCAGTGTTTGGTTCACAGAAGTAATTACTCTGCTCTGATTTTTTTTTTTAACATGTATGTCCAGAACTAAGGATTTGTTGTAAAGAACTGCCATCCTACCTTTGCTGGGTGATACTTTCTAATAATCAGAAGTAATATTCAAAAACTGAGTTGTGACAGACAAGATTATCTCTGTTAAAGGAAAAATGGGGTTCAAGAACCGCCCTCAGGACTTGAGGCAAACGGTCGATAGTGTGATCCTTACAGTTCTGACAGTATAAAATAAACTAGGTAACTGTTTTACAGATAGAAATATTATCTGCGATCAATATGCCATCCAGCTAAGTGGTGATCATCTGTGATGGTGAAGAACAATGGTACCAGGCATTGGACATACAATTCATCCCATTTGGTCACCACTCATTTTGCGACCTGAGGATTTGGTACCTATTGTTTCTGGAGTTCTTGAGAAGCATTTCTACAGCCTGCATAAGTAGTTCATGCTATTTGGTCATAAGTTGACTGTATTAAGAATAGCACAGTAAATAAATAAAACCAATAGGGTTAATTTTGCTTTTTGAAAAATTTTATTTTGTCTTTTTCTCACGTTAAGATTTATCCTAGAAGTTAATAGTTTTTCTGAACAAAATAATAGAAAAATTTGTTTGTTTCAATTTCCATTAAAAATAAAACAAAAACAAAGGACAGTCCCAATTAACACAGTGGACACTTTTTTGAATTACCTGAACTAGTAGCAGGACATTTTATCCTCGTCCAGTAGAGCTTGGTCCTTGTGGTGCTGTTTCAGTCCTTGCCTTAGTTTGAGTGGTGGTTATAAGTTTCAGAAATCCATAACGAGCATTGAGCCTGTGAGTGGATTTGGGACGGAAATCCATCCATATGGATTGGAAAAGGAAGGGATGTCCTGTCCATGTCTTAATCCTTTGAACAAGATATTTACTTTTTTGTCTTGTCTTTCATTCTATTCTCAAAATACTAACTTTAATTAAAATTGTAAAATTTTTTTGTATATATGCTGATGGGACAAAACAGTATTTATTTAATCCAAAGAGATGTTTATATGTTATTATTTTGAACTTTATGTTATTTCATTTGTATCTTTAAAAAATTATCACTGTTAAAGCCAGTGACTCCCCTAATACACTGAGAAAATCCTTCAGTGAAGCCAGCCTTTACTTTAAGGTTTTGGTGTATATTTTGTTAAATAATTATCCTGACATGTTTTCTGGGTGATGGAAAATATTTGGCTCCAGGAAACATTTACCTGTTTATGACAACAATAGTCAAAGGTAATAGGAAAACTTATTGAGTGGTTTTTGTTAATTCAGTAGGTGAATTCAGAGTAAGTGCATTTACTTATGAAGGACAGTTCTGCTGTTACTAATGGGCAAGTTCTTCTGGTAAACAACAATAGACTTCTAATATAAATTATTTCAATGCTGTGTACTATAGGTTTTGTGATATTGTTTCATTAAGCTTCATACAAGAATTTAAAGATAAAATCTTGACGCATTAAAAGATTAAAGATGCCTTTGCATTGTTCTTGGGTGTCTCCCTCTCTTGTCCGTATCTGGTAAGCTTTAAGGATGATGGCATTTAATTCCTTTTATTTGGAGGGTTTTACTTCGTTGTGAATACGTAAAGTTATAAATGAAGGATAAAGATAGTATGTATTGTCACTTAAAATAGTGTGTACATAAAATGACATGAGTGTGCTTTTAAAGAAATCTGTATGTAGTGCCTTAAGCTGAAGTAAAATATATTTTGACTATATTGTCTGAATTCAGTTAATGATTTTGCTTATGATTAAAACATTTTATGTGAATAAAATCTACCACTTTTGCTGTAATTATTAAATATAGAATGCAGTATTATTGATTTTTTTGTCACCCTGCAAAATAGATTTACCGTAACAAATGTTGACATGACCCAATTATACTGCAAAAATCCATGTAGGCATTCATTACAAGTTTTTAAAAAATCAGTATCAAGTATAAAACATTAACAAAATTGTAAGACAGTGGAGAAATATGCAATTTAGCATGAGAATATCATTGCAAAGAAAGCCAAACTAAATTTTGCAGAGCTTCCATAACTCTAATTTATTGATGTACAGTAGAAGGGAAGAAGTTTGAAAAAGCAGGTTACAAAACTAGAGGTAAGGGAGGATTATAGCATTTAAACTGTGTTTTGTAAATAGCCATACTAATTGAGTACAGGTTCAAGAAAGTAGAGCAGTGTGATAAATGCATTCCTCATGCTCATACTCAGGGAACACTGCTAGAAACTGTGGGAGAAAACAAAAAGAAAAGGTACATTCTTTACTCCGAAGAGAGCTCTGCAACATCTCAGAAGTGGTAAAACATTATAAGAACAAATTATGTCTACTCATGGTTTGACTCTTGCTGCTGAGATCCTTGGATACATAGCCCTTTTCCAGGCCACATGCTTCTCAAGTTTCCCCAACCTCCTGCTTCCTTGGTGCCTGTACTTGGGTGTCATTCAGTCCTCCCTTCCCACCACACACACACACACACACACACACACACACACACACACACATTTGCAGTCCTCCCTTCCCACCACACACACACACACACACACACACACACACATTTGCAGTCCTCCCTTCCCACCACACACACACACACCTTCCTTGGTGCCTGTACTTGGGTGTCATTGCAGTCCTCCCTTCCCACCACACACACACACACACACACACACACACACACACACAGCTTCAGAGAACATGTGAGAATCCAAAGGAGCGTGTTGGGTCCTGTTGAGTTAGGCTTCAGAGGACTGGTTTGATTTTTGGCACATTTTGGCACAAACCCTTTGGATCTTCATTTTTCATCAACATTTTCTTCTTTACTCGAATGGTTTAGTTAACATTTTTCAAGAAAAATAGATGTTAAGGCCAAAAATCCTCTGCAAACATGCTGGTCATATTATGTATGTATATGTATATAGTTCTGTATCCTAATGGATGTGTGTGTGCAGCTGGTGGTTGGTGTTGAAACCACTCAGTCCTGTGACTCATGTCTCCTGGCCGCATGATCTAGCAAAGGCAGAGTCCTACCCAAAATTCAAGAGAAACTGCCAGGCAGACCTGTTTTCCCATTTATCTTCTACCTCCTTCACCGCAGAAACCTGATGTCCACCATCGGTAAACAATTTAGTGAGCTCCTCGGCTACCCAGGCTGGAAGGATGGTTTACAGTCCGGCTCAGACTGCCCTCCTGTGGTGAAGATCTGAATTGTCAGGCACGGAATCAGCATGCTCATCTGCCTTGCTTACTTCACTTTCATAGGCTGGGGGAGGGGGGTGCGGGGAGGGGGGGTGGAAAGGATCAATAGAAATTAACCCCAAAGCAAATTCAGACAACCCCACTATACAAACATTTTATAAAATGGTTTCTATTGGTCAGACCCAGACCCATTACTACTGCCTTCAAACTTGTTTGAATTTTGCACTGAGGAGATACACAAAATTTTGTGAAGATTTTTTTTTTTTTTTTAAATAGTGAAAGTTGTGTTTTCAGTGAAATGGTGGCAAAGGAATTCAAACCAACCCTTTTGCTGAGGATTAGAAAATCTGGATTCAGTATAAAAGACCTGTGCTAAGGCATTGAGAAATTACCAAGAAAGTGAGGTTTCAAAAGGCCACGATTCAGAAGGAGGAAACGGATAAAAGGGAGCCTCCCATGGCATCTGTAAATTCTGGAAGCCAACATAATAAAAAAAAGGGATAGAAGTGTGGAAGGAGAGAAAATACAGATGTAAAAAAGGAGAAGCAGAACATTTAAAAATCTTAATAGCTTACCTTATACTGTTTGAGAAAAATAAGTTTGAAAACACAGATGAAGTGGATAATTTCCTACAAAAAAATGAATAAAATTGATTTCAGAAAAGAAAGGAAACTAAGACTAATTTCTGAATTAGAGATTGAGCGAATTATTAACTACTGTACAAAAAGTCCAGACTCAAAGGCCAATAATCTTTTTTAGTACGTCTTCCTTAGGTTTAATTATCACTGTTGCATTTGCTTCATAAAACATGCTTCAGGAAAAAAGTGGTTTTTTATTTTAAATTTTTTTATTAAAAAATGTGGGTTTTTGAGGTGACTACACCATGGATATTAAAACTGATAAAAGTAGCACCCCAAAAACAAAATGGTAGACCAATATAGAATAAGGGGGGAAGCAAAATGGAAAATCAACCATATCAAAAACTAAATGTAAATAGACAATATTTGGATCAAATGGCAGATGGGCAGATTGGATGAAAAAATAAGAGTCAGCTGTTCGTAGTTTATCCTTTGAATCCAAAGGCAGATTGAAAGTAAAAGGATGGAAAATGATACACCACGCAAACTAACTGTGAGACAGCTGGAATGAAGTTGTCTTCAAGACAAGAATTTTCAGAGATAGTGAAGGACACTGCACAATAATAAAAGGACCAATATATCAAGAAGACAACAACTCTAAGTGTTCACACCTAAACGCAGAGCTTAAAAGTTCATGAATCAAAAAGCGATAGAACTCAAGAAAGACTCCATAAAGAAAATTGACAAGTTCAGCACTCCTCTCTTAAATAATAGATACAACAACTAGACCAAGAAAAAAATCAGGAAGACCTGAGTGTGATGTCAACCACATACACTTACTTGACATTTAGAGATTACAACCCCAACCACGGGAGACATACTCTTCTCAAGTGCACACACAATCATCACCAAGATAGATCGTATGCAGGACAACGAAACAAGTCTCAGTAAAAAATCTCCAAGGATTGCAGTCTTATGAAGGATGTTTTCTGATCACAATGGAATTAAAATAGCTTCAATAACAATAAGATCTAGAGAAGCCTTGAATATTTTCTATTAAACAATACACTTCTAAATGGCTACCAAATTCTGTAGAATGCAGCTGATGCTGTATTTGGATGGAAATTTAAAACCTCGAATGCTTGTCTTTGAGAGAAAGGTTCAATACCAATGGTTTAAGCTTCCACTTTGGAAAGGTAGTAGGATGAAGAAAACAATCCAAAGTAAGTAAAAGGAAATAATAAAGATAAAATCAGAATCAATGAAATAGAAAAGACAAAAATTAAGAAAATCAAATTTTGGCATTATAAGTCTTAATAAAATTGATAAGCCCCTAACAAGATTAAGGGGGGGCGAGGGAGAACAAATTAGCAAGATAAGTAATAAAAGAGGGGTCATCACTTATAGATTCTACACTTATCAAAAGGATATCAAGAGAATATTATGACAATAAGTTTGACAGTTTAGGTAAAATGAACAAATTCCTTGAAAAATACAACTTAACCAAAACTCGTACAAAATCAAATAAAAAACCTTAATAGCCTTATTTATGCTATCACCAAAAAGTAATTTGTTATCAAAAATGTCCCCACAGAGAAAACTCGTAAGTCCAGTTGATTTCACTGATTAGTTACATTTAAGGAGGAAATGATTTTACCCAAACTTACGGAAAATAGAGAAGAAAGGAACATACGTCCAAACTGGTTTAGGAGGCCAGGAAAACACTGGTACCAAAATCTGATAAAGATGTTTAAAGAAAACCATAGAATAATATCTCTATAAAAAAAATTATTTAGGGACGCCTGGGTGGCTCAGTTGGTTAAGCAGCTGCCTTCGGCTCAGGTCATGATCCCAGCGTCCTGGGATCGAGTCCCACATCGGGCTCCTTGCTTGGCAGGGAGCCTGCTTCTCCCTCTGCCTCTGCCTGCCACTCTTGTCTGCCTGTGCTCGCTCTAGCTCCTCTCTCTCTGACAAATAAATAAATAAAATCTTAAAAAAAAATTATTTATTAAAATACCGAATTGAGTTTACCAATATTTTAGAAGGACAAAACATCAACAAATGGGATTTATTCCAGAAGGGCACCATTAGTTTGATATTTGAAAAATCAGTGTTATCCTCTATATTAATAAGGAAAACAAGAGCATGTTAATAAATGTGGAAAAAGCACTTGCCAAAATTCAACACCTATTTATTATTTTTAAAAAAAAACAATTCACCACATCCAGAAGAGAACTTCAAGCTGGTATATATGCCATAAGCCTACAGCCAGTATCATACTGAATCATAACAATAATAATAATATAGTAAACCTACAGTTAATACACTGAGTGGGGAAATGCTCAGTGTTTTTCTCCTATAATCAGGAGAAAGGCAAGGCTGTCCACTGTCATCACTTTTTATTTAACATTGCCCTGGAGGTGTTAGCCACTCGGTAACACAGGAAAAAGGAATCAGATAAGATTCAAAAAATAATGAAACTGTCATATCCACAGATGACATGATTTCACACACAGAAAATCCAAAGGAATCAGACAAACTAGAAGCTTGCCAAAATTGCTGGATATATGGTCAATATATAAAAATCAAGTGTATTTCTATGCATCACCAGAAAATGAAAATTTAAAACTGGTATCACTTATACCGGTATCAAGCAGCATGAAATATCTCAGGATTAGTCTAACAAAGGATCTGCAGAATTTTGCATGGGAAATTATAGCATCGAGCGGAATTAAGAAAGACCAGAATAGGGGCACCTGGGTGGCTCAGTCAGTTAAGCGCCTGCCTTCGGCTCAGGTCATGATCTTGGGGTCCTGGGATCCAGCCCCTGCTCAGCAAGGAGTCTCCTTCTCCCTCTGCCTCTGCCCCCCACTCATGCACTCTGTCTCTCAAATAAATAAATAAAATCCTAAAAAAAAAAAAAAACAACCCCCAAATAGTAGAAGGCTGTGTCATGTTTCTAGGTTGAAAGATTCAATATTGTAAAGATGTCAGTTCTCCTCAAACTGGTCATTGCATCCAAGCAATCCCAGCAGAGTTTTATTTATTTTTTATGGAATTGTATAAGCAGACTCAGATTGATTCAGAAATAAATGTAAAGGGCCGAGACAGTCTTCACAATAACATGATAGGACTTACTCCATTGGACATCAAGAACTATTGTAAAGTTGTAATAATTCAGTCAGTATGGTGTTGACACAAGGATAGACAAAGAGATGAAAAGAACTGAGGACCTTCCATAAAATGACGCATCCATACACGTGTGGGTGTATCAGACATCTCTCACGCCTCAAACCCACTCAACCTACCCCTTACCTCCAGTATCATCCCAGCGTGAACCAGCTTCCCCTAGATATAGCCTGAGGATGCTTAGTCTTGTTCTTCCTGGCCCAGACACCGCAGTCCTGGGTGCCTATGAGGTCACATTTGGCAGAAGGTTCAACATCTAACTAACATGAGTGCTGAAAAGGGGAAACAGAAATTGGATGAAAGTAAATTAGTAACTAAAACGAACTCTGAAAATTGGCCTTACTGTGAAAGAGATACGAGCCTTTCCAATAAAAAAGTCTTTGAGTGACAAGGGAAGTATCTTACAACTGTAAAATTCCAAGGAACCGAGGGCTTTAAAAGAAATATTATGAAAGTGGAGGAGGGTGGGGAGGAGGGCGGGAAAGAGAGGGAGGGGGAGAGTGACATATATTGTCCTAAGACTTCTCAATAGCAGCCCTGCGGGAAGACAATGGAATGATATCAACTAGGAGCTATGAATACATTTTCTTGTATAGTTTCTCACTTTTCCAGGCGTTTTATTATTGTTTTTGTTTCATATCCCCTGCCTGTCATGGACTGAACTATGTCCCCTCAACATTCATTCTGTGCATTCAGATTCACATCCGATCCGATCCTGGGTCCATGCGTATCAATCATCACAGCCGTCAAGGGGATTGGATGGTCCCTAAGATCCTTGTTAAGTAGGGGAGGTTGAACGGTCCCTAAGATGTTTCCCGGCTGTAGAGATTCTCAAGTCTGTCCCCCTTAATGAACCAACTCGAAGAGCTAGTACCCCCATCAGATTTTCTAGAGATAATAGGTTCTTGCAAGAAACCGACATTAATAGGATCCTAGTTTTACCTGAAGAGGTCAGAGAGCATTTTGAAAGCAGGTTTAAATTTCAACGTCAGGTGGCAAAGGGAGAAGAAATTGCAAAATGTACAGTGAAGACAAATCTTATTAATAGATTGTACAAAATAGTTGATGAGTGATGTTCAGCAAAAATGGTGGTGAGGGAGGGCGGTACTCCATTCCTCTGGCCTTAAAAAAATTTTCGCTTACAATTAGTAAGATCAGCTAGCCTAAATTTTATTTCTATGTGCAATTTGTGTTCAGTGCATACAAAGCTTGAGGGTGCAAACATGCAGATAAAACAAAAAAGCTCTCAAGGTATGATGAGATTTCCCAGTGAAGTTTAAAATTTTACTTTCCTTCAGGTAAATTCTCCTGCATTTTACAGGAAACTAAGTACTTGTAAATAAAGGAAACCTTGCAATAATCCAATATCCAGATCAGAATTTTAATGGTTTCATCAATGGTATAGCGTGTGCTTTCCTCTTACCACTGAGACAATTCTAAAGTGAATTTAATGCAACAATTTTTAAATGGACAGACAGAATTTGAACAGTAATGCGTTTAAAAAGACCAATTTCATCTTTTGGTCATTATGCTGGCATCTCAATAATGCGGGTAAAGTTCATGGCTATGCAGCAAGCCAACGGGAGTGGCCACCAAGGATTCTCAAACGTCTCATTCAGAGTTCAGACTTCTTGAGTTTGCCATCTACCATCTAACTTCTCAGCTTTTTAATGTCAGAGCAGGTCCACGAATTCCATTCTGTTTGATTAAAAGGCTTTGTAATGAAATGAGATTCGAGTGCTAACCTTCTTTATGGTATCATTTAAAAAATAACCCACACTTTATTTTAGGGAGCACTTAAATTCAACTATATTTTTGAAGGTAAAACTACTTTTGTTCTTTACATCTGCTTTATCTTTCTTTCTAGAGTACCTACACTATTTTACCTAATCATTAGCCAGCTGGTGCATTAACAACACAAAATCACAATATCATCGATGGGCCATCTGTCTATATAAACTTTTTTTTTTTCCCAAAGAAAGCAGTTCTTTCCAAGCTTTTCTCTTTCCTCTAAGAAACGACAGGTAAGCCCTAGGTCCCCCCAACCTGACTCCTTCAGAGATCTAAAGCACAGATTTGATGGTTGAAATGAGAAGAGCTGAGTAACCAAGCAGATGTCCGTGAGCCTGATTTCATCTTTGATCCCCGAGCACCCAGGGCTCGATCATGAACTGAGGCTGTGATCTCCACTCCCCTTGTTTCAATACCTGTCCCTGCTACGAGCTATTTCACTGGTTTCTGCCACGAGGCACCCTTCAGTGTTGCTCTGGGGAAGGCGGGTACATCTCAGACAAGGTTCCACCTCACTTTCCTTCCCTGGTTCCACACAGTCCCACTGGAGGACCGCATGGTCTGTTTTACCCAACATAGTTGGCGACTCTGGATCCGCAAATGCTCAAGGCTTCGAGGTGCTTGTGCTCTCTTACTACTTGTTACCAGAAAGAAAACAAACACTGTTGTATCTTATGTGATTTTTTAATGTGATTCATAGTGATTTAGCTTTCAAAGAAGCAAGTAAGTACAGAACAAGAGAAGCTTATTGCTGGGATGGTCACCGATGGCTTCTGTTCACAGCGGGCCAGGGCCAGACTACACAGGAAGGACACGGGTATCATGGTGTCTTTGTTATTATAGAATCAGAGCAAAAGGACTCCTTGGAAAATAGCCATCATGAATTTCATGACAGAAATGGGATGTTTAGAAGGAGTCTGTCAGTACTTGAACCTTTGAATTTTTTTAAAGAAAATAAAATGAAAACCCATGTCTTTTAGAAAGAAATATGAGAAGGGATGCCCACAGATGCACCCCACTGTTGGGAATGCATCCCTCCAAAATTCGATGTACAAAGGTTGTCGTGTTTAATTTCCAACAGTTTTCACTTTCTTTTTGCACTCCTGAGTTTAAGGAGACAGATTGTGGCATTTTTCAGGAATTATTAGACATTTCATTCTGTGTGACCACCAAATAACAAGTAGTCTATGATGTAGGCAGAAAACAATTTGTCTTTTTCAACCAAATTATAAGACATATTCAGCAATAAAGTGCATTTCATATAAAAGTACCCATGAGGAGAGTAATTCAAAGTGTAATACATAAGGTACTTTAAACAGTGCAAAGCCATTAAATATATACATTATAGGTGCCATGTCCAAATACAGCAGGATTTTATCTACCCCTAAGCCAGAGAGAATAAGAGAATCATTTGTCTCCCACTTTAATCCTTCGCAGGTATGTGTCTGTGCCTCTCTATGTACATAACTGCCTAATGATCTGTGCAAATGTCTGAAACCGGTTTCCTAGAATCTGAAACCCTTAAACACTGAAGTAAGTACACCATCTCCACTTCGAAGTAGCATTAGGCTTGTAATAATGGCTGAGCGATTTCAGCCTGCACATCTGGTAAGGCAGGTATCTGACTGCGAATTAAATGTTTAACGAAAATCACAAAGAAAACAATCACCACAATACTACCGAGAGACACCCCTAAGCAATAAGCATAGGACTCCTCGCTCTCGTCGTCTCCGGGCTTGACGCTGCCGTGGAGGAGTGTGGGACCCGGCGTGTGAGGAAGCGCTCCTGGGCTTGTGGAACGGAGCAGATCCTGGACGTTCCTGAAGGATCCGTTGTGGGGCATGCCCGTGATGTTAAGCAGATGGCAGAGCAGTGGGTACAGGTCTGTGGAGCTCATGGCTTCCTGCGTGAAATTCTTTCTGAAGGCAGGACCATGGGCTAAAAATACTGGATGCATGTCTGCTAATGCATTATCGTAACCATGGTTGCCTACTGGAAAGAGAACATGGATGAGTAAGTTAGCCCCCCCTCCCAGGGCATGACAACGAAAATGACGGTTGTATCATCCAATTCTGAACGTAAGTGCAAAGTTTAACTTGTTCATATTTTAAAAGAAAATAATCTTTTATGATTCATCTCCACTGTGGTCAACATCACCATCCACTTTAGAAAATGAAAAGTCAAACTGATGACAAATCTTTCTCGCAGGCAGAAGCGACCTGAAACAGTAGAGGAGGAGGGGTAAAGAGCAAAGCCGAACCCAAGTCAGGGGAAAATGAAAGCAATTTTTTTTCTTTTTTTTTTGGTGGCCGATAAACTAATATTCAGTAAGTACTTGTTAGGTAACCTACTTTGTTCCAATTATTTTCTAAAGATAAAGGGATAAAGCGGCTCTCAGTCATTAACACAGTAAATTCACCATTACCAATTACCAGTTGTGGGAAACACAATCAAGAAAACAAAAGACACCACAAAAATCAAACCCCTAGCGACAGCTACAACCGGCTACGGAAAACTTAAGGTCAGGACCTTTATGGGTAAAACCTTGATACGGGTGGTTCAGATCAAAATACAATTTAGCACTGTGCGCTTGTGTGGCTACAAAGAAAGTAAAAAGCCTTAGAAGTCTTCTGATTTATCAGGATATGTAAACACTGAAGCATGAAAACTCCTGTATAATAAAAACTGCATTTTATGTTGTCGTTATTATTTTTTAAGTAGGGTCCACGCCCAGCGTGGAGCCCAATGCGGGGCTCAAACTCACAACCCCGAGATCAAGACCTGAGCTGAGATCAAAAGCTGGACACCTAACTTACTGAGCCACCCAGGGGCCCTACAGGAAACCTATTTTGAGAAGCACTGCTTTTGGACATTAGGACTTCATTCTCTTGTGGAACTCAGGTTGAGAAGGAATATGCTAGCCAACACGTAATTATTTGTTGAAGAAATAATTATTTCATATATTTATTTGTTGAATAAATAACCACATTGAACATAACATAAACAGGAGCGTTATTAAGGCTTTCTAGCAAAAATAGGCATGACCAATCTATTGCATAAGTGTAGTTCACCACACCAAAATTTCAAGAGAGCCCCTCAGACTCACATTACTTATAAAGGACAAATCTCCTCAGAGATAGCAGTCCTTTTTTGAGCAACCCCGCTACCACAAGAGCTATCTGCACAGTACCTGAGAATCTGAACATGTAAAGGCAGCAATTATTCTCCGGGCCAAAGAAATTTTTTTTGAAAGAAATTATTTCTAAGATTTTATTTATTTGAGGGCGCCCTGGGTGGCTCAGTCGATTAAGCGACTGCCTTCAGCTCAGGTCATGATCCGGGAGTCCTGGGATTGAGTTCTGCATCGGGCTCCCAGCTCCATAGGGCGTCTGCTTCTCCCACTTCTCCCTCTGACCTTCTCCCCTCTCATGCTCTCTCCCACTCTCACTCTCTCTCTCAAATAAATAAATAAAATCTTAAAAAAAAAAAAAAGATTTTATTTGAGAGAGAGAGAGAGAGAGAGCACGCGTGCCACACAAGTGGGTTAGGTGCAGAGGGGGAGGGAGAAGCAGACTCCCCACTGAGCAGGGAGTCCGATGTGGGGCTCGATCCCAGGACCCTGGGATCATGACCTGAGCAAAAGGCAGATGCTTAACTGACTGAGCCACCCAGGTGCCCTGAAAGAAATTATTTTTAAAGGCTTTCTTAAAACAGATCTCCTGGTGTAAGTATCAGCTTATAGATCATCATCCATGTGTAAAACCTTTAAGAACCAGACACCAGGCACCTGTATACATCTGCCACTGTGATTCCCATATGTACTACAAATGCCACGGTCAGGCAACTGCTTTTCCTTTGGTCAACAAATATGATAGGAACCCAATTCTACCTCAAGGGACATCTTTGAACATCTCAGGTAGATCAAGGACCAAGCCTGAAGAAAGCATTCCTGTGTAGTTTTGATACAATGTGGTTCCTTCATTATCCAAGTAACAGAGGAGAAACAACTCCCTGGGAACTGATCAGTGGCCATGTTAATATCTATGTCCACCAGGAAAGCAGCAGGCCAGCAAGGTAGTTCACCAGAGGGAAGTTCTAAGAGCTGAGAAGCCTCCTCCAGATGGCAAGGGATTAGGAACAGCCCCTAGGCCCCCTACGGCTGGAGGGGCAGAAGGTGGTGTTACCAGAGCCCAAAGGCTAGGCTGCCCAGTAGGAGATGAGGCTGTAGGAAGAGCTGTCCAGAGGGAGCTGGGACCACAGAGGAAATGAAGTCACCATCACAGACACCACCTAAGACGGAGAATGAGAGGGACAAATATCCTGGCTTCTTCCCAACTCCCAACTCCTGCCTCCCAAACGCCCGTGGATGTCTTCTATTATTTTGGTCACGTATAACCAGAAACCAGTTGGCAAAGGAGCCTGGGAAATTAGTCGTTAGAAGTCAATCAGCAGCAGGACAAAGCAGAGCAGGGAGAGGGTAGGGAGTTGATGCACATGAGGGGCCCATTACAGAGCAGTAAAAGCCTGTGGATGGCTTTTCCATTTGACTAACTTGCTAGAAGCTATACAAGAGAAAAATTACATGTTAAGGATGGCAGAAAGCCCCTTCTTTTGCATGTCTGAATTTCAAATGGGACGCCCATTATATTAAAAATTCAGTGGAAATATCTCCAAAATTATATCACTAGGGGTTAGAAAAATACATTTTCATATACGGTCCTCCAGGCCATACGCACTTCTTTTCAGAATAGTTTCCAAGGTAGAAAACAAAGTTGGCCTGTATTTGGTAGAGCCAGAAGGGCAAAGAAAACCAGAAAGCTAACAACTGCAAATAAAAACAGAGATTATGTTCTTATGCAATTAGAACATAAAACAGATGCAGAAAAAACATTCAATCTGTAAATTTCCAATTAGGTTTTTCTCAAGAACATGATGGCTATAATTCGCTGTCTGGGTGACTCTGCATAAATTTGATCTGATGACTTCCAGCAAAATGCATGTTTAGGGGCAAGTCCCAAGGATCTTTGATTTGCTATTCATGTAGGACTCCCATTAGTTATCTGATTAATAAATACTGCTCTATTACGCACAGTCTCCACTCCAACAAGTAGTGACGCAGAATGGGAAGAAATGGTGTAATATACTCACACAGAAAGTTATCTGACTTATTCTGCAGAATATACCACCCGTCGTCAGCCACGGCTATGATGGGTTGAATTCGATGGTTGTACTTGTAATGCCATCTTTCTGGAAGCTCTTCTCTTTTGTAAACAGTAAGATTAGGATGGGCATGAGCTAGGGCTTCATAGACTTCATCAAATTTACCTCAAAGAGGAAGGATACGGAGAGAGACTCAGAACCAGGCACTCACTGTTACGATTAAAGAAACCACCCTGGCAACAGAGGCCAGCGAGCATTTCTTCCTTGCCAACAACACCCCCTGAGGTAAACCACCACTGTACAGAACACAGGGAAATACAGCCAGATACCTGAAGACTCTTATCCCTTGAGCAAAGAATTTTGAGGGACAAACAGAAATGACCCATCTTCTGCTGTACGTAAATTCACTTGACAGAACTGAGAGGATTATATAGAACCAGAAATCTCTAATGTAAAAAGACTTAACTACACACCCTCCCCTCCCCGCAGCTGTTGACACTAAGGAAAATGTCTACCCAAACAAAAACAAAGAGCTAAGTTCTGATAGTTATGCTCACCAAGGAGAGAGAATCTCTGAGAGGAGGGCAAAGCAGCCCTTGGGGGGAAATCGGAGAGGGAGAGGAACCAGGAGAGACTGTGGACTCAGAAACAAACTGAGTTTTTTTTTGTGGGGTGGGTGTTGGGTGAGCCTGGTGGTAGGTATTAAGGAGGGAACGTACTGCATGGAGCACTGGGTGTGGAACATAAGCAATGAATCTTGGGACACTGAAAAAACAAAATAAAATTAAAAAAAAAAAAGATAGGAAGGGCAGACTGGAGGTGAAACGCAGCTTGTGAACCCTGGAGGCATGGCAAAAGCATTCCCTGGAACTTCAAATGCAGTATCTTTAATCCATTTCTTGTTTTTCAAATCCTTTTTTGGGGGTTCCCCCCTGCCTCCCAACACCCCCAACATAGGACACATTCCAATTTTATAAGGAAAACTGAAGAGTTAATGTGATTTCCACAAACAAAAGACTTGTTATTTTATACTGAATTTGTTAAAAGGTTCATGTGCAAGTGCACACGTGTATATTTTAACATTCGCTGTCTCATATGATCCTCTTGATTCCCTTGTGAGGGATGTAAGGCTCGTGTGTGAGGTATTCAGCTTTTCAAAATCTGTCCTCTCACCGGATATCTAGAGTTAATCTAGATGGTGATAAAAAAGAAGTCAGAGGTCTGAGTCTCCCTTTGCACTTCCTACGTGATCTGGTGAGGTTAAACTTGGACTAGTTCACTTGTCTTTAAAACAACAGTAATACTTATGTGACAAGGTTGGTAGGAGGCTTTGAGAAAAGGTTTGTAGGAAGTTCAATGTATTGTTATGACTTCCTCATTTACAGACAGGGAAAAGAAATCTTCAGCTTGACCAATGCTTTCTCCTTCCTATACAGCACTGTTTCCCTATTAAGCAGGTCCTACAAAAGGATCCACAGAAGGCTAAATTTAGGGCTTCCATAAAATCACTGTAATTGCATGTGAATTCTATATGTCTCTGACCATCTCAATTTTCCTCAGAAAGGAGGCTATAGCTTTCATCATATTTGGTGGTTCCAAGATGGTTAAATCCATCTACCATAAATATAGAGAGAACATCAATTTCAAATTCTTGGGAAAAGTGAAAAATTATAGGCTGAGAAAAGAGATTTTGTCTTTTCAGAGAGTAAGGATTAAACCCCAGAAAACTACCATGACACAGGCAAGCATATGAAGATATAGAAACAAAAATTCCCCCCTCAGTTGCACTGGGCACATCCAGTCCCAGCCCCAGATCACCACTCGGTCAGACTTACCATCTTTTGGCAAGATAGCCGCTACTGGAGATTGGTCAATCAGGACATAGTGGTCTTTATCCAGATACTCATCAAGTTCTATGATCCTTTCCTCAGAACACTGGGTCATTCCATGATCACTTGTGATGATTAGGTTCAGAACGTTCCACAACTTGGCCTTTTTTAGCATTTGTATGAGATATCCCAACTTGTTGTCGATATCCGAAATGACAGGCCCCATGAGTGGACTCTCGGGTCCCAAATGGTGGCCCATATCATCGGGGTCTTCCCAATAAAGAAGACCGAGATTTATGGGCTCTTTTGACGTAAACCACTCGATAATTTTGGCAACTCTATCTTCAAATGACACAGACTCATTGTAAGGCATATAATGAGTAGGAAAGCTATTATGTATTTTTACGTCGGTTCCAGGCCACATGGCTGCACCACTAGAATGTCCCGCCCTCTGATTTGTGATCCATATTGGCGTTGCTTCTTCCCAAAACTCAGAATCATAAATAGTCATGTTATCCAAGGAGAAAGACTTATTCAGAATAGGATCAAACATGTCATTTGCAACAATCCCATGATTCTCTGCAAAGAGGCCAGTTACCAAAGTATAATGGTTAGGGTAGGTCTTTGTAATAAAAATATTAGTAACTTGCTTCACATGAACACCATACTTCATAACATAATGAAAATGGGGTGTTGGAACTCTATACAAGTAATCCCAACGGAATCCATCAAATGAAACCAGTAGAACCTTTTGCTGGTCTGGTTGGAGAGAAAATGTAACGGACAGTATTAACGCAGCAAGGATGAAGGACACCCAGAGGAGTTTGGAAGTCATTTTCAAAGTATTTGATCAGCTCAGTGGAAGACAATCTGTATAGAAAACATATAGAAGTTAATAACAATTTTTTTTTTTTTTTTGGTATACCTTACCCAAAACTGACAGTAACAGTACTTAGTAATACCAGTTATGTCATAAATCACAGCCTGGAAGAATTATGTTGTTCCACCTTAAACAAGAGACCTGGGGCTTCCTGCATAATAAAGCTAAGAAATTTAGTTGCATTTAGAAACTGTTACTTTCCAAGAATTTATCAAAACATTTCTCAAAGTAATTATTTAAGTAAACCCCCCAAATATCATTTTAAAATGTTGTAATTTACTTTTGAGAAAACCAAAAACTTTTCAGAAACTTTTGCAGGGGACCCAGACTTCTGACTTTTGGCCTGTAAAGTTTATGTAGTCTAATTAATATCTGTGAAAATATTGATCATTATTGTTAGACCAACTACAGGAACCTAGAAACAAGGAAGTACCATCAGCAAATCCAATAAAAATGCTTAAAAAAAAATACACACGTCTATTTTTCAAAGCCAAAGTCTTATATTTAGGGATGTTACTCGAGAAAAGAGAAAATAGATGAACTTGGTTTTTTGAAGTGACATAAAATTTGTGATACTCAAATACACTTGTGAAGTGTAATTTGCATTCTTTATTTCATAATTAAAGCATAGCCTTTGTTATTCTAAAACAGTTTCTGTATGAACAGAAACATAATTCTGAAATTTGGTGTTGACTTTCTGAGAGCTAAAATTCATCAATATTTAATCTTTGTGACATGTGTGGAAAAGGCACTTGCCAGGATTAAAGACTCCCTTTGGATCAAAGTTGTTGGTCGGTTGTTCTATTTTTTTAAAAATCTGCTTATATGTCTAAAAAGTTTTTATTCTATTCAAGAAAGCTAACAAAAGGTAGTATGGATAAACAACACATATGTAAATTTTGTGAACTCTACTTGGGCTTACAAAGCAAGCAAGGATTTTTGGTTCTCTTTTCTTGTCCATTCTTGCGTGAAGGTATTTGTAAGTCCACCAAAACCTGGATCTACCCACACTTTTGTGCCAAGAAATCTCCTGAATTCAGCCTTTGATGCCTTGTTAACTTGAATATGCTGAAGATATTTTAAACCTCAAAAACAGATCCTGTCTTGTCTTGCTGGCTATATTAGAGGTATAGGTAAGTAAAAACAGCTTGGCATGCTTGCTTTGCTTTCAGATACACTAATTTTTAATTATGATTTCACTGTACCTAGAATATTACTTAAACTGAAATTGCATTAGGTATTGGTCTCCAGACAATGGTTCAAAAATTAAATTTAAAAACTATTTCTCAAATGGCAATAATGTTTCTAATTCTGGAAGGAACATTTAAAAACCAGTTCCAATAATGAACTCCAACTATATTTACTAACATCTGGCTGAGGATGCTGTTTCCTCTCCCTTTTCCCCCTTCACCTTCCTCACACAAGAAAAGCTGTTATGAAACAAATATAATTTAAGGCTAAAAAAAAAAAACCAACTACATGAAATGCCTGATTTTCCTCTAAGTAAATGAATTCAGCAACTGTGGTAAGCAGGAAAGAACTGCTTTCCTGGGCTGAAGAAAATAAACAAATGCTGTGTTGTCTACAGCTTAGGAATGTTTGGTAAGAAGAATCAACATTTTCACATCGATGACATAAAGCAATAAACAAAGAGGTGGGGGTGGGATGAAAGAAATAGCAGATTTCGTTCTTTTCCACGCACAAACTGTTGCACAGTGCAGTGGAATCCCTAGTTCTCAGTCCAGATTTCACCGGGCTGCTTTCCAGGTTCTCCTCCCCTCCAATCCTTCCCCCACAGGCTGCCTTGGAAATAGAGGGAAGGGGCGCCAACAAACGCGGAGAAGAAAGTGGAGGAGGAGTCGGTGGGTTTAGAGGGACTCGACGTCGAGAGAACGAAGTAGTGCCCTATCTTCCCCCCCTGGGATTCCAACCTAGTCACTGGAAAGGGTCCGGGCGTTGAATACTTTAGCCATTCGCTGACCTCCCGCCCACCGAGGCCGGCAGGTGCCCCCACGTGAGCTGTGCGTGTGTGCAAGGAAAGGGGGGCTGGTCTGTGGGGACCACAGGAGCCGTGGGTTCCCGGGAGGCAAGCAGCCCACTCCCCTGGACTCTTACCCTTGCAGTGATCCGGACGGCCCGCATGGGGTTGGGACAAGAGGATGGTGAGTCGGGGGGTAGGGGGGCTCACGTAGACCCGGGGCAATAGCGGGGAGGTGGCGGAAGCGAGAATTGCCCCTTGAACTTGCAGCCGCTCACCTGCACGCAGCCTCGGCGCAGAGCACCTGACCAGCACCTCCTCCTGGCCGCAAGTCCCGCCTCTTGCCTCCTATTGGCTACGGTAGGATGGTGCCCTCTGCTGGGCCTGCCAAACCAAAGCCGGGCTCTAGGAGTCGCTGCACCGCCTGCCAATCAGCGGGCCCGGGGGGCGGGCAGTGCCTGCGTCTGGAGGGTGGAGGGGGCGCAGCCTGCGGGAGCAAAGGGTCGCTGGGAGGTCGCGGGGGTCGCGGAGGCAGACACCCCGGTTGTATCCTCGCTGAGGTCTCATCTCTGCTCGGTCACACACTGTCCTGCGGTGTGGCATTTTCTTGCCGGTTGGTTGTGTTGTCGTCAGTGATGTAGGAAGATTAGAAAGCTCTACCCCCAGTGGTTTGTCAAAACTCAACTGCTTGGGTTAACAGTACTTTTCTTATCTCTCAAGGTTTTTTGGTTACTCTGTTTTTTCTTATCAAAAATTGGTGACTCCATACCCTGGATTTTGCTCTGAGGAATACTCGAACACCCCAGAAAGTCGATGGGACAATGACATTTTAACTCTTTATTAGCTGGTGTGACCTGCTTTACCTTAGACAAGTCTGATTCAGGAGGGTTTAATTCAGTCCGTTCTGCAGCCGCAGTGTTGCAGGTTTTTGCGGTATGAGGTCTCTGTGGTAGCTGAAACTGCTCGAAATCAACCAAGCCAGGTTCAGGAGTAGGTTAATTTGCACGGGGGGTGGGGGAGACGGGGTAGAGGTTGACCAGCTACTCTGATGGTTTCATCTAGACTCCAGACTCTGCTTCTAGCTTTGTTTCTAAATATGCAGTCAGGCTACAAGCATTAGGTCTCATTTCTCTCTCGGGAAGTCTTCTGGTTTGTTAGTGGCTCTGTTTGTGTGTGGGCAAGTGCATGGTTTGTCAGTTTGATCTCAACTATACCGTAAGTTGTAACAATGACCTTGAGCTCCCTGGAAGGATTTCTTCATCTACAGGGTCCCCAGGCCTAATTCCTACCGCCCTGCAATGGAAAATAATCTGTGCTTGGCTGTTACAAGTTAAGTTTCAACATCTAGTTAGCCCATAAAACAGAGCAAACCAGTGGCTTGGGATCCTCTCTGCACCTCCCGCTCCCTAGCTCCCTGTCTAGAGTACTGGAACTGTAATATGAATAGAGATTCTTGCTGATATTTAAACAAGGCAAACATTTTGGCCATGGTTTTTTCTCTTTCTCTCAACTTCTTGTGGAAGGACAGCCCCTACCCCAATCGCTCCCTTCTGATTGCACCATACCATCCCAAAGGTCATCTGGGCACTCTTCTGTGGCCTTTTATTTGTAGTTACTTGAGTTTATGGTTCTCCACATGTGGGATGGGGATTAGAGAGGCTGGTTTCCGTGTTTAGCCAGACCCAGCGACAGTGAAGTTGTACAGATTGTTCCAAGTTCCTTAAGCTCTGTTCTTTGAAGTTGCCCAAACTTGGAACGGGGTGGTCCAATATTATAAGTCCTTGTCTCCCCTCACCACCTCCCCAACCCTGCATTGTTCCAGATGCTCAAAGAACAGTGCATGCTGACTAGCAAGCAGGGGGAGTGAAAAACCAGACTTTTATCTGGGTCGCTGAACAATTTTGGACTCAATTTAGGTGATGACACTTGGCCTTACCCTACAAACTTGGTATGGAATGGGTGACTGTGCTCACCAGCTACCCTAGAGACATAGGCTTGGTACAGCTGTTCCTCCACAGCACATGATACGGAAAATGACTCAGGAGAGGCTCAGCGAGGGCCAGAGACTCCTCCCAGATCTTCACATAACGACATGTGGTGTTTGACTGGAACAGTAGGCTTGTTGTATAGCTCATGCAATAATGGGAAACAAAATCAGGCTCTTTCATAGTATAAATAGAGGAATGATTGTAAAAAAAAAAAAAATGGAACTCCTGCTTATATCTGTACCAGGTCTCCTGCCCTGTTGTCTCAACTCCTGTCCTGTTGTAACAACCACTCAGCACATCATGGTGGCATAAGCTGCAACCTGTTACTGACTTATTAATGGACTGTTCCTTTATTTTGTGTTATTGAGTTCATATAATCACCATCGAGCTAGTAATATGTTTCTGAATAATGGAGTACAAGAAGAATCAACTTCTTTCATGAGTTTTGGAGTGGGAAGGGGGGGTCCCTTTGCGTGCCTAAAGAAGTCTGATAGGGATTTGAGGGCTGGATTATTTTCTTCCTCAGGAGCTGGAAGAGGCTTGTGCAAAAACTGAAATGTGACATGTATTTTATGAAATAGCCAAGACTGGCTTTGCCGCAGAAGCTGTGTTTTCAAAACTAGTCTCTGTCCTGTGGCAGGGGAAATGAACATACTATTTTGCAATCAGAAAAAAAACCTGTAAGGTTGCAGTACGGATTATACCACAAAAACTACCAAACAAAAACAAAGTCTATCTCATGATCTTTTAGAGAACAGTCTGCAAAATGTAGGTCTCACATATCCAATAGCCATAGGTTAGAAACCATTGGGACTCTTGTTCTGGACTGACCTTGATTCTTGATTAAAAAAATGGGTCTTCACTAATTTGGATTTACTAACAGAAGGTCAGCTTGATGAGTACAAAGTTACATTATAGATTATTCAAGATTTAGTCCAAGTGGTTCATAGTTGTTAGTAATTTAGGCTGCTAATGATATATTTGTACCTCTTAAAACCATTTTTTCACACACATAATTATTATATTTTTAACTTCAGAAAGCTTTATATAAGCCAAATATAACCTTCTAAAGTTCTTTGTACTCTTGTGCTTCGTAAATTGTATTTATAGGGTATCATTTTTGCAGGGCTATTGGGACAAAGTATGACAGGCTAGATGGCTGACAGTAATAGAACTTTATTCTCTCTTTAGTCTCTTTTGGAGACTAGAAGTCTGACATCAAGTTGTTGGCAGGGCCACACTCCCTCCAGGCTCCAGGAATCCTTCTTTGTCTCTTTTAGCTTCTGTGCTTTCTGATGTTCCTCGGCTTGTTCCTGTCTCCGGGACCACAGGGTGGCCTCCTCTGTGGGTCTCTGTTTCTTCAGATGGCCTCTTATAATGACACTAGCCATTGGAATTCAGACCCACTTTAATCCAGGAGGAACTCATCTAAACAAATCTAATTGCATCTGCAAAGATTCTATTTCCTGGGGCGCCTGGGTGGCTCAGTTGGTTAAGCAACTGCCTTCGGCTCAGGTCATGATCCTGGAGTCCTGGGATCGAGTCCCACATCGGGCTCCCTGCTCAGCAGGAAGTCTGCTTCTCCTGCTGACCTCTCTCCTCTCATCTCTCTCTCTTTCACTGTCTCTCTCTATCTCTCAAATAAATAAATGAAATATTAAAAAAAAAAAAGATCCTATTTCCCAATAAGGTCACATTCTGAGGTTTGAGTTGAACGCAGTTTGGGGAGACATTCAACCCAGTACAATGTAGCTAGCAGAATGTTAAATTTTTTTTTTCAGAATCTTTTATTTTATAGCTCAGGATAGATCCAAAGTTCATGAGTAATTATGAAAATGGCTCAGATCAAAGAAACTGACAACATCTAGTACTGACAAGGATTCAGAGGAGCTGCATCTCTCCTGTGTTGCTGGCGGAAATGACATGGCCTCTTTAGACAATGGTTTGGAAGTGTCTTATAAAGTTAAATATTGATGTGTCATGTGAGCCAGGAATCCCACTCAGGGGTAGTTAGACAAGACAAATGAAGAAGATGACCTCTCAAAACTTATAAGCACATTTAGTAGCAGCTTTATTCATAATCGTTACAAACTAGACACAGGGGCACCTGGGTGGCTCAGTCGTTAAGCATCTGCCTTCGGCTCAGGTTGCCATCCCCGGGTCCTGGGATCGAGCCCCGGATCAGGCTCCCTGCTCAGTGGGAAGCCTGCTTCTCCCTCTCTGACTCCCCCTGCTTGTGTTCCCTCTCCCACTGTATCTATCAAATAAATAAATAAATAAAATCTTAAACAAATAAAAATAAAAAAATAAAAACTGGAAACAACCCAAATGTCCCTCACCTGTGCATAGATAAACAAATTGTGGTCTATCCATGAGGGGAATACTATTCATCAATAAGAAGGAATGAATTAGTGATAACAACAATTATGTGGATGAGTCTCCAAAGCATTTTGTTAAGTGAAAGAAGCCAAATACAAATTGGCTATTTCCTGTTTGATTCCATTTCTATGACCTTTTAGAAAAGGCAAAACAATAAGGACAGAAATCAGGTTGGTGGAGGGCATTGGCTACAGAAGGGTATAAGGGAACTCTCAGATGTGAAGGAATTTTGGGCGTGACAGTGGCTACCTGATGGTCTAAGTTTGTCCAAATTCAGAGAATGATACACTGGAAAATATTTCATTCTACCATATGTAAATTATACCTCAAGAAACAATAGCAGCAAAAAAATAAGTCCTAATCTGTGATCACCTGCCCAAATGTTCATGATGCAGGCCTAGTGTTGTTTGATTCTTCTGGGTCACTTTTGGTGTGTCCCAGGGCCTATTAGCTCAGTCTGCGGGAGAGCAGACCTGGCAGGTGTAGGAATCCCCTGGGGCCCCGGCTTGGCTGGTTTTCATGTTCTTTCACCTTCCAGAGTGACGTCTGGAAATCACTCAGCAAAGAATGATTATTTTCTAGGCTAGGAGTGGATGTTGTCTATTGAATAACTCCCATCAATCATGGAGGTGGTCATGCAGGCAGAGGGACACTTGTCTTTTGGTCTCTGGTTGGAGGCCTATTTTGAAAGACACACTCTCAGTACAAAACTGCACATATGTTTGTGGGCCGGGGGAGGGGGGTTGAGCGCCCTTATTCCCAGCCTCGCCCTCCATTCTTTGTGAAGAACGCAGCCGGAGGAAGCCTCAGAGCACTTAGGGTAACCTCATCATTTACTTGGAAAAGTTGCTCATGGGTGTTATAATTCTGCCAATTCACTGTGAGTGAGGGAGGACCTAAAATATATTGTCCTCCCCC